TTACGCAGGTGGTTCAAAAACGAAACACCACCGAGATTACCAAAACCTACCGCATGCTCCGATGTTTTGATCACGTGTTGAGCCGACACGGTGGGCTTGCCTCATGTGACCTGATGCTCCCTTTTTTTTTCTTCCTTTTATGGCAGAGGCCACAATGCCTCCGATCTTGGAACGAACGCAATGTCATGTTAGGTGCAGGATGCTTTCGGAAGGCGGTGGGGGAGCATGAATCCATCTACTGAAAAGAAAATGACCACGGCGTTCACCCTTGAGTTGCCTTAGTCGAATGCGCGAGTTAGTTATTTTTTCTTCTGTATATTCCCATTCAGTGGTGGGGGCTACGTTGATGTACGCAACATGTTTATGCTAGTTGCGTCAGCTTGTGGTCAAAAGAGAGCGGCTTACAGTGCTGAATAGATGAACTGAACATTCTACATAGCCAGTATGTCTTGAATTAACCTCAGTGTGCTGCGCATGACTCACCGATAATTTTGGTGAAGGCACGACGATGTCTGACGGGTCGCTTGACTTGACGCGTTCCAGAACCAATGTCAAAAGTACTATCCTTGTTTTCTCGGAATGAATACAACAACAACAACAACAACAACAACAACAACAACAACAACAACAACAACAACAACAACAACAACAACAACAACAACAACAACAACAACAACAACAACAAACACCACCACCACCACCACCAACAACAACAACAACAACAGCAACAACAACAACAACAACAAGAAACAATGGCACACATATTCGGCGCCTATGTTTCTATTCTTTCAAAATCAAACTGGAACTTGAATGAGGAGAAAATAAATATTTATTTACATGCTATTTAAAACGACAAACTCACATCACACAACGCCCCGCCGCGGTGGTCTAGTGGCTAAGGTACTCGGCTGCTGACCCGCAGGGCGCGGGTTCGAATCCCGGCTGCGGCGGCTGCATTCCCGATGGAGGCGGAAATGTTGTAGGCCCGTGTGCTCAGATTTGGGTGCACGTTAAAGAACCCCAGGTGGTCTAAATTTCCGGAGCCCTCCACTACGGCGTCTCTCATAATCATATAGTGGTTTTGGGACGTTAAACCCCACATATCAATCAATCAATCACATCACACAACGAATTGCTTCATTTTTTTTTTGTAGGAATGTAATCTTGAGTGCCTGGTAATTACGCAATGTAAATTTTAGACACTTGTAGACATAGCATCACAATTTGCGCCTGAAGCCCCGGTGACATATCAAATCCATGCGTTCACGAGGCATTGAATGAGGATGTTTTGCATGCGGCATCGACAAACTTTCGAGCAGTGTATGCATGAACAAAGTGCTTAGAAAGATATCATCTTTTTTGATGAAATTGATATACTGATGAGAAGGCATAGTGATAATTCAGTTGAGGAACAGCGTATGCGCTGAAACGCTCGAATTTGTTATGTGCGCTTGCAGCGGGTCAGCTAATATTAAACGAACATGAATATAGGTAAGCCACGTTTGAATTAAAAAGCCGCTTCACGTTCACCGGTATCACGTTTCTGATTGGACAAACGAAGTAGATACAAATGAATATTTAAATAGTGTATGCTCTGAAACACAGTACAGCTAGCGATTCTAACAAGGTGAATGTTAGCGCGAAGATTTATCGTTGAAGGAACATGCAGTGACCAAGAAAGAGAAGTTTCAGGATGCGTAGCCGTCATTTTTGCAGAAAAACTCGTCACCGTTTATATTAATGCAGGACCTGTAAGTTAACAACTTACAAGTAATCTTCTTGAAATGCTGGCGCCGGGTTGAACTGCTGTTCGACTTTTGTGGTTTGATCCAGTCATTTGAGTAAAAAAACATAGTGCTTAATTTTTGAGAGTGACAGCCGTGGTTGGTTGGTCCCGGAATACGAACGCCTCCGGCCCAAATCACGTAATCTTCCAATGTGACTCGCGCATTCCAAGAGGCCAGGAAGATTGTTACCAATTTCAGTGACGAATTATGCCACGAACAAGCGTGATTCGCTTTACAAGCCTGCACAAGCAGTTTAGTTTACAGTCACCGAATCCACTTCTCACTATGTGCAATTGTCCCACCGCCACCATGCATGTATGCGCATACTGCGGCGAATAACATGGCACGTCACATACTGTACCTATTCTGCGATTACGCGCGAACACATCTTGCCTAACCTCAGCTCACATGCACTACACTTTTACACCTACAGGTACGTGCAGGATACATCATAAGGGGGAAGGGCAACTATCCTCCCTTCCTCCACATCCCGTAGCTTGCGTAGATGATTAGAGGAGGGGTCCCCTTCCTCTTTGCTCCACCTGTGTGCGCTTGCCTATGCTCACCCCAGGAGTTCGACTATGGCTATCACACTGGCAGCTACACAGTACCTTGCTAACATGCGAGGTACAATTGTCCCGATGAAGAAACGTCGTCGTGCTAAAACGAACAGGTGTCAGGCTGAGCTCTTTTTCGTTGGCGCGCAATTGACCATTTCTCCACGAAAGATTGCATGGCTCCAGCTGTAGCCGTTGGACGAAGAACGCTTTTGTTTAAGGTAATTAAAAATAGATCAGTTACTTCAGTTATTTTCCATACGTGATCATTGTCTTTTTTTTTCAAGAACTCGCTCTGTCTGCATAGCAGCCGTATGTACTTGAAACTGAGTTGATATAAACTCCAGCCACCATGTTACATAAGGTTTCGCAAGAGTCATCATGCTTAGTGGGATGTTCTTGTTCTATTCGCGCAGTCACCACGCGATATGAAAAAAAAAGACAAAGGTAAATAGCGATATTGAAAGACATGAAGTTGCACCTGTTTCTTGTTAAATTAGGACTCCCTCACTGTGTATGCCTGCAAGTATTGTTGTGCAATCGCGTTATCCAATTCTTTGCCATTCTCCCCTGCACCTTCTTAATTTCAAAGAAGAGAAGAGCAAGGAGTATTCGAAACTTCAATCGCGTAGGTGATTCCAGGTTCCCTCCATTCTGCATAAGTTGCTGCGGCAGCCTGTTTGCGCTTAGGAGATGAGAAAAAGCGAGCGCGAGGTGGCGGCGATCGCGGAACAAGGTCGTCGAGGGGAACCATTTGGCTAAGCACCATCGGATGACCCGACGCATCAGTCGGTGCCATTCCACGGCTACGCGCTTAGAACACTCGATATTTCTGACGCGCCAATGGAGACTCCGAATGCGGCTGTACTTCCCTAGTACGGCTTTTCCAGGCCTGGAATGAGCAGTAACCCGGCTGAAGCGTTCCTGTGCGATGTCCAATTATTCCGTATGCTTCCGTAAGAATATTATGGATATGTATGGAAAATATATAGAAAATATACAACAAACATATGGACTCCGTATGGAAACATATGGAATCATTGGACTCACATACGGAACGTTTCAGTAGGGTTAAGCTATTAACGGGGCGTGTGCGCCTCGGAACTTGTTCATATTCATTCTAGCACATGGTCGTGCCCAGGAGAAAGTGGCCGCGTGCTGAGAAATAGAAGTTACTAATAAAGAGAAGTGAGAATTGGGAAAAAAATTGAACTTAATCCAATTCACTTTATTTGCTGTTCTGGAAGGAAGGAGGCATACCGAAAACTGTGGTGTTAGGTTGACAGAACATTCCAATTTCGTAAAAGATGGCAGCAGCAACGCAGGCATCAGAGTACTCGTAAAAAAGAAACCTTAAGCATCATGTGTTCTTTTATTAAAAACAACACGTTGTCTTGCATAAAGAAACGACAACATTAAAGTTGAAGGTCGGTGCGATGGTAACTGCGACAAAACTTTCTTCCCATCTAGCATGCATTCGTAGCTGCGCACAAGCCACTGGATACTGATCAACTTTAGTAATAATCGTTAGGGTTTTACGTCCCGAAACTATCGTATGACCATGCGAGAGGCTGTAGATTATGACCCTCTGGTGCTCTTTAACGTGCTTCCAAATCTAAGCACACGGGCCTCTAAGAATTAAATTTCATTGAGATGCATCTGCTGCGGCCGGGATTCAAACCTACGACCTTTGGGTCAGCAGTTGAGCGCGGTAACCACTGTGCCACCGAGGCGGATGGATACTGAAAAACTTCGTTTTACGGAATCCACAAGATGCGCCCACTAGTGCAACCGAATCTCGGAGCTTTAAAAAGAGAAATCGCAGATTGTTAGTTCTCCTGCAAATGAAGAAAATGTTTGGAGATGAAGACGTGCCCGCTAACAGCCAATGAAAAAGAAGAAGAGGGATATTTACAGCGGAAGCTGGACAACGTTACCTCGTACTAAGAAAAAAAGTTCAGTTATCGCAGCATTTCATAGAAAACGTAAATGCCTCGGAATTGACCGAATAATATAGGTCGGTTGATGCAGTGCGCTTTAACGATAAAAGTCTGTTTTAACCGAGTGTTAATCGGAAAGTAAAAAGATGGTAGAGTATAGATACAGTGGGTCCAAATAGAGGCGACCAGGTTGGAAAATAACCCATTATTTCTCCTCACGAGCTCACGGAAAGACAATTTCGAAGCTATTTCCTGACAAAATTTTTGTTCGCAAGGGAATATTTTTTTTTCATTGCCTTCCACTTAAGCATCCCAGTAAGAAAACTCCAGCGACTTCATGGGCCAATAGTATAAGGACTGCACGTGATATTGTGCAATTCTATCAAAACAGTTGCAATCATCATTGTGCATTTTCACGAGGTCAGTAACACAATGTCCTCAAGCAAGAACGTTGTACAATTGCCCTGGTGCAAATTTACGACGTCCACCACTCTCTCTGAAGGCTGAATGGGCCCTTCCTATTACACATTGAGATTTATAACCCCCTTGATAACGTGCATGGTACCAATTATTTAACAGAGTGCACATAATAGTATGCGATACTGAAACAGTTTTCTTTATAGAATCAACAAGACGTACCCGGTCCTTCGATAGCCCTGCAACTAACTGGGCTGCAGAATGCGAAACTGTACAAGATGTTCTGTGGAATAACACAGGTGCGACGGAGGCTTCCCGGGCTCAGCATGGAATTTCTGGGTGAAGAAGGGCATCGTCACGGGCGGCAATTACGACTCGGACGACGGCTGCATGCCGTACCCGATCAAGGCGTGTGACCATCACGTCAACGGCACACTGGGTCCCTGCGATAAGAAGATCCCGCCCACACCACGCTGTATGCACATGTGTCGCAAGGGTTACGACGTACACTATGACGATGACAAGCACTACGGTGAGCGGGAACGTTGAAATTCGAATATCAAAGCGCACTTGATAATGTCAAAAAGCTGGGTCGATTACGCAACGAGACGCGGTGCAATGCTTGAGACACGTCAATTGCTTCGCGTATTGCCACGTACGTACAGAACATGAAAAAAAAAACAGCAATGATGGGATAAAAGTTACCTATAGGCAGCTCGACTGGACCCTACTCCTCGCACACTAACAGAAGAAATAGAATTCACAACAAGTACAATTGTTGCAATATTGGAACATAAATGCACAGAGCAAAATTATGAAGATCAGAAAGAAACACAGATTTTCCCGTGCGACAGAAGTAAGGTTAACACTCATAATAACAGTTGAAGTAATACGTTTTCAGAAATATAACATATGTTTGTACCGAATATTTTTTATTTATACAGGGCGTAGCCAGGCTGATGCTGATTTAGCGTTGAAGGAAGACAGTAGAAAAGTGTTTCGAAACCATGGTTCGTGTGTGGTCACGAAGTTACCCAATGTTCTTCGCATTAAAATACTGATAACGATGCTTTTGTTTTATTCGCGAACAGGCAAGAGCGGTTACTCAGTGCCATCGACGGAAGAGCAGATCCAAGCTGAGATCATGACCAACGGTCCAGTGGAGGCAGACTTCACCGTCTACGCTGACTTCGTCCACTACAAATCTGGTGCGTACATGGTCGACTAGGACGCAGCGGCCTCATATTTATGTCAGAGATCATAGCCCCCAAATTAGTGTAGAGAAAAAAAATTTCTAACATATCTTAAAAGTTTATGGCCAAAAGCCGCGATGATCAGCTCAGATCGGTAAGATCAAATATGAGCCATCCAGCGAGCATGGCAGGCGGCTTGGAGACAGGGTTTCTCCACCATCCCTGGTGCGGCTTAGGCTTACGCCTTAATCTGCTGGTCTGAGTAAAGCATCTTTCGCCCACCAAAAACCAAACCGGAGAAGCTGTAAGATGAAAAGAAGATGATTGGAAAGGACATGTCGAGATGGGTACCTACCGGGTCCGTAGCCAGCAAATCTTCAGATGCGAAGCGTCTTTGGTTGAGCCCAATCCGGTGTGCGGCGTGACCACCCTTAAAGCCGTTCCACGTGTCATGCCGGGACCCCTGCCGCACGCGAACGGGGGACAAATCAGCCAATTGGCGACGCTATTTCACCCTCCGCTTGGGTGTGGCAGGTGTGCCGGCACGTGCGTTGCGCCTGTGCGGATAGCGCGTGGAACGGCTCTGAGGCGCATGGGCGCCCTTTCCTTTTTCCTACGCCCCCTCCCCTGTCTCACCTTGCAACGTCAACGCAGGCAGTGACTGAGCCTATGCTCGTCCCTCCTCTGTGTGAGAGCCACTGGGAGGCATCCCTCCCAACGGCGCTTACACCCCCATTGCACATGCGCGTCCCCTGCACCTCTTCTCTCCTACGCTCCCCCTCTCTGGCCTCGCAACGCCGACACAGGCAATGTCTGCTATAGTCTTCTTTTTATAGTCTACACTCAGCAGAGTGATTTGTTGGGTGAGTTGGTTCATTATAACGGCAGCTTTTGGCGCGAAGTAAAAACGTGTCTGTCTCTTGTGTTTATTTCAAGCCAGAAGCTGCCCTAGTCTACACTCACTCTCCCCCTCTCTCTCATGTAGGCAATCTACCCTGGATCGTTTACCTGCACGTAGTTCCCTGTTGCTGGAGATGGCCTAATTTCTTCTCAGGGGGCGTAGGGGGGCACTTGCTAAAGACCTTGGCTATTTATGAAAAACACCTATTTTAAATACTTATTTTCGGTAAACCACCCCCTCCATGAGAACTTCGAGAAGGAGGAGGGGGGGAGGCAAGGCCCTTGGGTCAACTCCCACTTCCTGGCTACGGGCTCAGCACCTACACCACTGAGTGCTAGGTCGATGTACCTGTCTCCATGCAGCAAAATGGCGTGTGCCAGGTGGCACTGCTTATCGAACTCGATGACTGCCACATCGGTAAGGTGAGGTGCCTTTCCCGCTTTCTCCTATCTTTCGCACCCGTCACCCTTCCCCACGACGCTGGTCCGTGCTTCCGCGTAAGATTTATAAATAATCTGCAACACTGAAGGCAGACGGGTCATTTGGTGCATAGCTGAGCGTGGAACAGCGTGTAAAGACGGGACAACTGCACGAGATGTCAGAGACGCACCGCTGTGTCTATTTCTCCTCATATCGCTCGGCCATCCTTGCGCGCTGTTCGACGTTGCATTAATTGGTATGTGTCCTAACCCTAAACCTTTATATTTGCTAGTTGCATTCAATGTGGCCATGTTGTTAAGGCGAGTACTTTTTTGTTAGTTGTTATAAAATGGCCATAAAATAATGTAAAAGTGACACTTCCCATTTGGACACGCGCAGATGAACTAGACCGGACGGTTACCTTACTACGAACTGTTCGACCTTCCGAATTTCTCCCTGCATAACTCAGAGAACACATGCAGATATGCGTAGAAACACAGCCATAAATGTCTAGTAGAACGAAAAGAGATAATATTTTATATCATGTGACGAGTTCAAACGCACTTTTTTTTTATACGCACGGCACTAACTGCATGTACGCAATACTATTTCACCAGTTTTTCTTGATGCGTGAATTCTCGTACTATCTGCTTCGTCCTCGTGTGTCTTAATCTGCGCCGCTAATTTTATACTTCTGATGGCTTGAGAAGGTGTGCATGAAAACATGGCAGCCTTCCGAGGTTTCTATCAGCCCCGCCGTGGTGGTCTAGTGGCTAAGGTACTCGGCTGCTGACCCGCAGGTCGCGGGTTCGAATCCCGGCTGCGGCTGCTGCATTACTGATGGAGGCCGGAATGTTGCAGGCCCGTGTGCTCAGATTTGGGTGCACGTTAAAGAACCCCAGGTGGTCAAAATTTCCGGAGCCCTCCACTACGGCGTCTCTCATAATCATAGAGTGGTTTCGGGATGTTAAACCACACAAATCAATCAAGTCATAAGGTTTCTATCACTATGAGCTTTTTTTTCTTCAGGGGACTTTTTGTGGATAATATAGACCACATCTGAGTGGGAAAGCACACATAACAACATACGCCCACAACGTTTACGGACGCATGTACATGTGTGCAGGCGTATACCAGAGGCACACGGATGAGGCTCTTGGAGGCCACGCCATCAGGCTGCTGGGATGGGGCGTCGAGAATGGTGTCCCCTATTGGCTGGCTGCCAACTCATGGAACACCGAGTGGGGAGACAAAGGTCAGTGACCCGTTTTTTTAAAATCTGTGCTTGCTTTTGCTTCAGGCGCATACGTTCAATGACGGTTCTCTCGTGACTAGAGATATTAGAACGAGAAGCAAGTCCATTATTACATAATTTCTTTCGTCCTTGTTTCTATATTGTGGTAAATACATGTACCATGCGTCAAAAAAGAAACGCCTTGAGCAAAAAAAAAAAAAGAAAAAAAGAAATATGATGCACGCATTGCATTAGAAACAGCAATAAAATGACAATATAGAGGGAATGATGTGTTTCTGTTGCCTATTTTGCTTTCGATAACATGTAGGTTAGGATGCAGCTGAAATTCATGCAGTATTTTTTAAGGACATCATAAGCACGGAAGTGGTGACCGGACGCGTATCTCCGGAATTTTGTTTGTATGTCTTAGACTTTCTGTATGGTTATCAACTGAACTACAGATTAAACTGCTAAACCCGAAAACGCTTTAGCTAGTTTCGCATTTGGAGTTCAATTTACAAGGCGGCTCTTTCGCAAGGGCTCACTCTCGTTTGTCGAATGATATAAGCCTTATAGTGTACATATGTACATAGTGGCTCTGATTATTGATACTTTTATTTTTCATAATTTTCCATACCTGTGTGCACCTTTTACATTACTACTATGATGTTTGGGTAGCCGGCTCTAACGTAGCCTACCTTCCTATGTTTATTGCCAAATATAAATAAAACGTGATATATGTAATACCTAATAACCTAACTTCGCTGATGGCAGGCCCGGCACCGAGGTTGGCAGAAATTTTTTTGTCACAAAGAATATTATTGCAAGACGCTTCTGCGTGTACGAATTCTGAGCACTTGTCGTGTACCCAAGAAATGACGGAAGTGTAAAGAGTGATGGCCACGTATTAATGAGCAACTTGTACACAGTGTACCCGTAAAACCCAGTGCATTTTAGCTACAGTACGTGAAAACAAGGCAAAATGGACTGAGGCGAATAAAGAATGGGTAGACTGCTGTTACTTCCCACCTTTCCGTTCGAGTTACTGCTAGTGGTTTCCTGAGAGCGGGCTTTCTAGTTTGATTGCGCCAATATCGTAGTCCGTCTAGTACGCGTGCTGTTTCAATAGTCACGTTAACAATACCCGTGCATAGCTTCTTTTACTGTGAAATACTAAGGTACGACGCAGACCAACAGCCCATTGAATACACGTTTGGACGCACGCTGCGATAGGTTCACAACGTCACCGTTTGTCAACTACCCACCGTTGATTAAAAAAAAGAGGGGGGGGGGGCAGACGCACGTATAAGGTCATTTGTAGCAGCCTGCCCCTTGCGGGAACACCTGTCACGATGCAGGTGCAGAATGTGGATAGGGTTGGGACGGAAATCTGCCCTTTAGACACAAGGGGTGCACGTGCCATCACGTACTCCACATATATTACAGGAAAGCAGTAATTAAAACATAGACACCTTAAAACATAAGAATTTGGCTATTCCTGCGTCTGAAATGTGAGATCTGTGCTTTTCTTCGTAAGTATGAAATTTGCTACAAAGTTTCGCATCATTAGTCAACGGAAGAAATAAGAAGTCAGTTAGGCTCTTGTAAGTGTTATACCATGGCACGCGCGATTCAATACGTTTTAAAGAGAAAGCAACAATGTAGTTATGAGGCAGGTAGAACCATGACTTGAAATGAGCACTAACATAGCCAAAATCAAACGCTACTCAAGATGATACTGCCTGAAAGCATGTGCCAGTAGTTTGCACACACCAAACGGTCCCTTAGAAAACAGGAGAGAAGCTGCCCTGCCTCCCCCTCTGGTGTATTATAAACCCGCTCACGCAAACCACTAACTACGGCACAAATCGGCAAGTCGAAAATTTTCGTTAACAAGCGTGAGTAAAAAATAAATCAAGAAATGCTGGATTGAAACTAAACACTAGTGAGGGCGTTCTAAATAACAAAAAAAAACAGCAACAATTGGTATACCAGGAAGAGAAAAGCCGAAAAAACAATACAGAGAGATGTTAGCAGTATTTACGTTCATATTGCACTTTTCAGTCCAGCATATTGTGCGCACCCACTTATTGCGACGTACTTTTCATCACAGTAATGCATCTCTGAGGATTCTCGCTGGTTTTTGCAACCTAACCTGAACACGTTGGGATGTGTAATGCGGCCACTATACTGCGCAACATATTCTTTAAACCAGAATCAACTGGCTACAGCAAGGCTGATCACCTTTTGCTGCCGAAATAAGTGAGCATATACACAACGTGGGCTCGTGTTCAAACGACTGACAGATCTGTTATTTACCGTTCGCAGGCTTCTTCAAGATTCTTCGCGGATCAGACGAGTGTGGCATCGAAGACGACGTGGTAGCCGGCCTTCCTAGATACTGAGGTTCCTCACGCGCATTTGCGTCAGACAACGGGCACAGCTCGACGTGATGAGTTTTGCTGCACGATTGTGGTGTGTACTCAACCCAGCCGTCTCCATGTGTTTTTGGTTTCTCTAGCGATATGGTAATTCGCGATCGTGTTTGCAGAAAGTGCCGTCAATAAAGATCGACAGTAAAGTTTCTGGCTGTTGCCTAAATGCTTGAAAAGGAAGGTATTTCGGTGATGCGTCTGCGCTGCGAGCTCAAAGGCGCATTGAACAACCCAAATGTTAAAATTCAGCTGCGGTGCTGCAGTTATGCTCGAGTCCACAATGAACACGTACCCGTGAATATTCTTCAAAATGTTGCTGCAACAACAAAGCTACACTCGTTTGATGATTGAAACACGGCCCTCGATCGTCTTGCCCTTTTCTTTGCTATACGCTTCATTCGTTGACCCATTTTTGCTCTTCACTGAGCGATGAAAAGGAGCGGGTTGCTGCCAAACAGGCTCTAATGGTGCTGCTGACGTGGCCAGACGCGGAAGCTGACGTCAACGCTGGGGAAAACGAAAGACCGAGAAAGGAGCACGGGACTGTTTTTCTCATGTGTGGCGCGCTCGCATCGCTGCTGCGTTTTACGTTGTTGGCCGTGCCGCCATTTTGAACTCGATGGGCGTGTTAACTTGAAATATTAAAAAAAAAGTAACAGAGGCGATTTAGAAGGCTTTCGAAAGGGATACCGAAAAAAAGGTATCGAAAGGAAGTTTGAGAAACTGGTGCGTAACGTTCATCGATATATGAGTGCACCAACCTTTTGCGTTTCTCGAAAACATTTGAGTTCGGAGTATCGAATACTGACTTTCGCAGGGGATCCGCCATGGTGGTTGTGTGGCTAAGGTAATCGGCTGCTGACCCGCCGGTAGCGGGATCAAATCCCGGCCATGGCGGCCGCATTTTTGATGGAGGCGGGAATGCTTAAGGCCCGTGCCCTTGGATTCAGGTACCCGGTAAAGAACTCCAGGTAGTCAAAATTTACGGAGCCCTCTACTACAGAATCTCTGATAATCATATGGTGGTTTTGGGACGTTAAACTAAAACAATTTCGATGACTTTCGCAGCGGAACGTCGTACAGTTGCCGAACAATTGTTCTGGCTATGAGACCCAAACTGGCGAAACGAAGAATGACGAAGGATTCGTGCCACCCGAAAGCCAGGGTTGCGAACAAAATTTTGTTTTGTTCGAAATGTGATGAATTGAAAGCGGTATCAGTGTATTTGACAGCTGCAGAAAACAGTTACTCGATATAGACAATTTGTTTTCGTGGGGGCTGTCGTGTGGATTACCGGGAAGCGTTTTGCTAATCTGGCAACCCACCGGCTCGCACAAATGGGTAAACAGTCACACTTTCACGGTCACACGCACTCCGAGCCGTTTTTCACATTCGCACACGCACGCTGTGAACCATTTCTACACACCTAAAAGGAGGAAAACGCGAGTTGTGAGGCGACTTCTCCTCGACTTCTGAAAACGATCTATAAGCAATAGGCGCTTAGAATTTAGAATTTTCTTTAAAAACAAGGAAGGAATTGATAATACTGGTGTATTGGTAGATGTAGATAGCAGTTACTACATGATAGAAATAGAGACAAATATAAAGAAAAAAAAAGCTAAATAATAGTACCATAGTAAGATGGAGGGAGTTGCGGCGATGGCGTAGTGGTTAGAGCATCCGCCTCGCATGCAAGAGGTCCGTGGTTCAAATCCCGGTACCGCGCAGTTCCCAACCGGATTAAAAAAAAAAAAATCCGCGTGTTGATGGAACTGCATTAAGAGGCCTGGGGTGCGGCCTCACCGGCAAACACCGCCGAGAACGCACTCCCTCACCAGAGAAGGATTGGCCACCCTGGTGCAGTATCTGGCCACTACCTCCCACATGCTTACGTCAAATAACTCACGGCCCTCAGTCCCCAGCAGCTGCGAAGCAACTGACCATGGCGGCGGTCAGAACTGCAACGCAGCAGAGGGTGCTAAGAATCTCTGGATCCGGACAGGCCGCCATTGGAACCTGAACTTGGCAACGTTTAATGCTAGAACCTTATCTAGTGAGGGAAGTCTAGCTGTACTATTCGAGGAGCTAGAGGGTGTTAAATGGAATATAATAGGGCTCAGTGAGGTTAGGAGGACAGATGAGGCCTATACGGTGCTACAGAATGGGCACGTCCTTTGCTACAGGGGCTTGGCAGACAGAAGAGAACTGGGAGTGGGGTTCCTAATTCACAGAAACATAGCTGGCAACATAGAGGAATACTATAGCATTAATGAAAGGGTGGTAGGTATCGTAATTAAACTGAATAAAAGATACAAGATGAAGGTAGTACAGGCTTACGCGCCTACATCCAGCCATGATGACGCTTCAGTTGAAAGCTTCTATGAAGACGTGGAATCGGCAATGAGTAAGGTAAAAACACAGTATACTATAGTGATGGGCGACTTTAATGCAAAGGTAGGGAAGAAGCAGGCTGGAGACCAGGCAGTAGGAGATTATGGCATCGGTACTAGAAACGCCAGAGGAGAGCTACTAGTAGAATTCGCAGAACGCAATAATTTACGGATTTTTAATACCTTCTACCGAAAACGAGAAAACCGCAAGTGGACATGGAGGAGCCCTAATGGCGAAAATAAGAACGAAATAGACTTTATAATGAGTGCACAACCTGGAATCGTGCAGGATGTGAAAGTGATTGGCAAGGTACGATGCAGTGACCATAGAATAGTACGGTCTCGAATTCGCCTAGACTTGAAGAAGGAACGACAGAAACTGATACGCAAGAAGCCAATCAATCAGCTAGCACTGAGAGGGAAAGTACAGGAATTCAGAGTGTCGCTGCAGAACAGGTACTCGGCTCTTAGTGAGGAAACGAACCTTAGCGTAGATACAATGAATGATAATCTAACGAGTATCATTACGGAGTGTGCAGTGGAAGTTGGAGGCAGGGTAGTTAGACAAGACACTGGCAAGCTTTCCCAGGAAACGAAGAACCTAATTAAGAAGCGTCAAATCATGAAAGTGTCAAGTACAACAGACAAAATAGAACTGGCAGAGCTTTCGAAGTTGATTAATAGACGTAAGGTATGCGATGTAAGAAGGTATAACATGGAGAGAATTGAACACGCTCTGAAAAACGGAGGAAGTGTCAAAGCATTGAAGAGGAAACTTGGGATAGGCAAAAGTCGGATGTATGCACTAAGGGACAAAGAAGGCAAAATAACTACCAATATGGATAGGATAGTAAAAATAGCAGAGGAGTTTTACAGAGATCTGTACAGTAGCCGTGACAACCACGGCCTTAATACTATAAGAACTAGCAGTAACCCAGATTACACCCCACCAGTAATGATAGAAGAAGTCAGGAAAGTTTTGGAGAGCATGCAAAGGGGCAAAGCTGCTGGTGAGGATCAGGTAACATCAGATCTGCTGAAAGATGGAGGACAGATTGTGTTAGAAAAACTAGCCACCCTGTTTACGAGGTGTCTCCTGACGGGAAGAGTACCAGAGTCTTGGAAGAACGCTAACATCATCTTAATACATAAGAAAGGAGATGACAAGGACTTGAAGAATTACAGGCCGATCAGCTTGCTCTCTGTAGTATACAAGCTATTTACAAAGGTAATTGCTAACAGAGTAAAGAAAACATTAGAATTCAATCAACCAAAGGAACAAGCAGGATTTCGAACAGGCTACTCAACAATTGACCACATTCATACTATCAATCAGGTAATAGAGAAATGCTCAGAGTATAACCAACCCCTATACATAGCCTTCATAGATTACGAGAAAGCGTTTGATTCAGTAGAAATATCAGCCGTCATGCAAACACTGCGGAATCAGGGCGTAGATGAAGTATATATAAACATTCTGGAAGAAATCTACAGGGGATCAACTGCTACCATAGTGCTTCATAAAGAAAGCAACAGAATACCAATCAAGAAGGGTGTAAGGCAGGGGGACACAATTTCCCCAATGCTATTTACCGCGTGCTTACAGGAAGTTTTCAGAAGCCTAGAATGGGAACAGTTAGGGATAAGAGTCAATGGAGAATACCTTAGTAACCTGCGCTTCGCCGATGACATTGCATTGCTGAGTAACTCGGGGGACGAATTGCAACTCATGATTACGGAGCTAGACAAGGAGAGCAGAAAGGTGGGTCTTAAAATTAATCTGCAGAAAACGAAAGTAATGTACAACAACCTCGGCAAGGAGCAGCGCTTCGAGATAGGTAATAGTGCACTTGAAGTTGTAAAAGACTATGTCTACTTAGGGCAGGTAATAACCGCAGAGCCGAACCACGAGATTGAAGTAACTAGAAGAATAAGAATGGGGTGGAGCACATTTGGCAAGCACTCTCAAATTATGACAGGTAGTTTGCCACTATCCCTCAAGAGGAAGGTATATAACAGCTGTATCTTGCCGGTACTTAGCTACGGAGCAGAAACCTGGAGACTTACAAAGAGGGTTCAGCTTAAATTGAGGACGACGCAGCGAGCAATGGAAAGAAAAATGGTAGGTGTAACCTTAAGAGACAAGAAGAGAGCAGAGTGGATTAGGGAACAAACGGGGGTTAAGGATATCATAGCTGAAATCAAGAAGAAGAAATGGACATGGGCAGGGTATGTAGCGCGTAGACAGGATAACCGCTGGTCATTAAGGGTAACTGACTGGATTCCCAGAGAAGGGAAGCGGGTTAGGGGGAGACAGAAGGTTAGGTGGGCAGATGAGATTAAGAAGTTTGCGGGTATAAATTGGCAGCAGCAAGCACAGGACCGGGTTAACTGGCGGAACATGGGAGAGGCCTTTGTCCTGCAGTGGACGTAGTCAGGCTGATGATGATGATGAGTAAGATGGAACACTATAAAAAAACATTGTCTTACAAAAAAAAAGGAACACACCTTTCCCCACTTTCTCATTTCTAGGCTGATAATAATAATATAGTTACGTAAAATGAGACGAGACGTGACTATTTGCGATGTATTACCACCGAGCCGGACGGAGCACAGCACGCCCAGCGGGCAAGCCAGTCTTCTTCGTCGTCTTCTGCACGAAGAATGTTTCACCCTTCATGCGGTAGCTACGTAGCATCCGGCTGCAAAAGCGCCGTCTCGGTGTACTTTATACGTGGTATCCAGAAGGAGGGCGGTATGG